ATGAGGTGCACCGCAGCAACAGCTTATCTATTAAATAGTCAAGGCAAGTTTGGACTTACCCATACCCAAATATTCATATGCAGTGCTAATGCGGTCCGTCAACAGTGTCTGTTTCACAGCTTTAACCTCTCGCTCATTTTCTCATGGCAGATATGAAGGCAAAAGCTAAAGGTTGGTTCATAAATATGAACAGGATGGCAGATGGAGGATACAAACAAATTGCATTTTAAATGTGTTTTAACCTTTTTTTCCCTCAGATACCTGGTTTTGTGCAGAAAATGACACGATTTCAGCACAAAGTCATGCACATACAAATGAACAGATGACCCACTGTCCCTCCTGATCTTAATGCTGTGGCATTGATTGTAAGCTGCAGTATGGTGTGAGCTCAATCAGCAGCTGTAGTGGAGTGTAGGGGAGCTCCAACCTGCAGAAGAGGAGAGGGCGAGAGAGACAAAAAGGGAAGGGAAGAAAACAGGACAACAGGTCTTATTTATTTTTTAACTGAAAGCCAGTCTTGCAATGATTTTGGAGACAGCACTAAGACTGAACCAGACAAATTTAGGTGTTAGCAGTTAAATAAGGGCAAGGATCTGAACCTAGTCTCTGAATAGCTGAAAGGGGCTACAGAGCTGTGGGATAATTCACTGGGGAATATTCAGGTCCCTGTCAGGTTTGTTATCTAAATAAATGTCTGGGAATACATTTCAGGAAACTGATTGAGAGGACCCTTTCAGTTTTTTCCAATACATAAAAAAAAATAATTTGGCAAAACCTTGATCTTGTAAGTAGTATATACAGTTCATATGCTTTATTCTATTAAGAAGTACAAACGATTACACAGCTTATGACAAGCAGCATTGAGGTGTCCATACCTCCGTCCATGTTGCTTCCATTGGCATCTTACTTACAAAATGCTTTTAGTACAGATGTTAATGCAAAAACATCTGCCATCAAGTCTTAATATGTCTTTTCTTCAAAATGTAATTTTTATTAATTTAATAGATAATGTAATGCAAACTCCAAATTTTTAAACACACATCAATACCTATTCTTAATGCAATAGAAAAACCACAAAGGCAAACATAATAAAATTCATCATGGTAATTCAAAAAACAAAAACACTTTGCCACATGAATCATAAAGGGCATATTGTGAAGAAAGATTGAACACTCCAACTACACAACCTTGGCTTTTTTAAATAACATACATGTATTTACCATGATAAACAGTCTAACCTTGGTTCCTTACAGAGATCATTCAGGTCATTTAAACAGAAGGCTTAAGGGGGATGGTTTGTCTGTGGTAAGACACTATCATGATGTTGAAGATGCAGCATGATAAATAACAATCGAAGAGCATCATAATTCATCTCCCAATGCCCAACATACAAGCCATGCATCCACACACAAAGGCAATGTGTCCGTGTGTGTGCAGCCTTCTTGTTTCACCTACATTGTTTACAGTGTATCTATCCAACAAATAAGTCACATTCTTCATTGCTCTTCTTGTTTTTATAGCTGCAGGCTATAACTGAACAGCATTTGGGAAATAGTGATATGGCTTCCTCTGCTGAGCATTGACAGCTGCAGTCGCATGCCAAGACAAACTATTTGTTCAGTTCAATGGTCAATGTAAAATATTGTACATGCACAAACAGAGCTTTGACAATGGCTTTTTTTTGTCAACATCAACTTTAACTTTACTGTTCCAAAGGGGTGAACTAGTTAAGACAGTCACCTGCTGCCGATTGCAACAAGAGCGACGTTTTTTCCCTCCACCTTTTCTACGGACAAATATTCTGCTATTTTGTCACGTACAGGTTTTAAGATCTGTGCCTAACATGGATTTTGTCGAAACAGGCTGTCTCTTGTGTTTGGATATTTGAAGAGGAATTTTCTCCTCATTCTGTTGGTTATTGTCTGTAAAGCTTTTCATATTTGTCCAACCCAATCAGGTCTTATATAAACAACAGGCACTATCTTGTTCTGTAAAATATAGCTTAGCATCTTTCTTGTAAGTTTTAGGTATTGTCAAGGATTCTGGAAAAAACGTGTTCTCTAATTTTAATGTCTGTCAGTGGTGCATTCAAAAAGTGGGTTATCTTTCACTATTCTTACAATTTTGTTCAATTACCTTTTGCCAATAAAAGCTTATTTTGTGGTAACAAAGCTGTGTATTATCAAAGAGCCATTACAATCCTTTGGTTCTGTCTGAGCGCTGATGAGGATAAAATCAATTCAGAGTCGGAAAAGGACAATATAAATATTGAGAGGACAGACAGATGGGTACAGAGAAAGAGGACAGGATCAAATTAATATTGGGTTATATGTGACAGACTGGCTTCATCTGGCTGCCTGTCAAGCAGTAAGAAAAGCATCCTCTGTATTTGTTGACCAGCTGACATTTTTCCCTAACCTCTTCTGTCTGTGTTGAGAGAATGCTTTATGACAGGTGGTCTGAGATGACTGCCAACGCCCTACCAGCCCAAAAAAAAAATCATTTTACTGCTGCAGGCAGTCAGTACCATTTTGGAGCTATGATAAGAAAATAAAGATCATTCAGATGCACTTGACATGAATGTGTCTTCTAGACAGATGCACACACATCTGCCCCTGAAGAAAAGCCTCCCTATTCATCTCACAAGAAACGCACACTAACCTAAATGCACATGTTTTTCCAAAGGATTAAGAATATATGGATCATACTTCTTGGGTTGAAATTTTTGGCCATGACAAAATGTGCTCATACAAGCAAATGAAATGGGGGAAATGCTTTCAGTTGCCTTTAACAGCAGTCTGCAGTTGAAAGACTGTGCGCTGTGCCATTTTTCCAGCGTCAAATGATAGAGGATTGTGAGCACATGTCAGAGTTTGAATGCAGTCTGTTTGTTAAATGATCCAAGCCAGATGGAGAAGCTTTGAGAAATAAACTTTAGAAAACAAATCGTAAAAGAGAGACAGCCAAAAATTGAGTGAGAGATTAAATGTCTGATGGGAAAGTTGCTATTTGGCTGGCCTGACAGGCAAATTCTGAGCCACCGCAGACTCTTTGTTCTGGACAAAAAGCTATCATTCTGTCATGAGTCATTATAATCAGATCAAAAGAAGTAAGACCACATAGCTTTGTTTATTGAATTGATGTGACAATATGTCAAGCACCCATCGTTTTCACTTCTGCCTTTTAATTTCCCCTTAAGAAGAGGAGCTATAAGCAGCCCTGGACCCATTAGCATTCCAGGACAGCATGAGAGGTCTATGTTAGTGTTTCTAACAACACTAACCTAACCACCTGTCTTGGTACTTACCTACTTCTCGGTCACATTTTCAGGAAATTTTGTATTCACTTTAAATGCCACGCGGATGACACCCAGCTCTATCTGCCTTCTAAGCCCAACTCCGCACTCCCACCTTTATCCCTCCCCGACTGTCTCCTTGAAGTTAAATCCTGGTTCTCTCGTAACTTTCTTTATGTAGTTGATTGTGTTCTTGTTTTTACTTACTGTTTTACTGCTGTCTGTAAGTTGACCTTGAGTGACCCTTGAGGCCCATAAATAAAATGCATTATTATTACTATTAGTAGTAGCAGAAGTTGAGAGGGAATTTAAGAACGGTTTGAATTAGAAATGGCTCCAAAGCTTGTTGAAATAAAAAACAAGCGAGCAAAAAACACACTTTCAATACTCCAGTTAAAGGTTTTTGGCCATTTTAAAAATGTAAAAAAATAAAAAACAACATGAAGTACACTTCATCAAGTTTCTTATTTCGAAAATAAAAACAAGTTGCCTTGTATTTTGATTTTACCGTGATAACAATGTCTTACTGTCCTATATTTTTATGAAGGTTTGCGAGAGGGAAAAAAAAGCTAGGCTATAAAATCCTTTTCCTATTTGTCCTGGTCCACTTAAATAAGCCTACTTCAGCATGAGTCTACTCTAATTAATCATAAAGGGGGTTTTGGAAAGAAACATTGAACACTCTTTTAGACGACATATACCATGATAAACAGTCTAACCTTGGTTCCTTACAGAAATCATTCAGGTCATTACTGGCTTACATGCCTGTTTTCTGTAAACAAAAAGGTTGAGATAGGTTTAAGGGGGATGGTTTGCTTGTGGCAAGGCACTATCATGATGTTAAAGCTGCAGCATGATAAATAACATTCAAGGAGCACCATAATTAATTTGCCAAAGACCAACTTACAACTGTGTGTGCAGCCTTCCTGTTTCCCCTACAGTGTATCCATCCAACAAATTATATGTCAATTTCTTCAGTGCTCTTCTTGTTTGAGCATCAATAACTGCATTTGCATGCGAAGACATTTGTTCAGTTCAATAGTCAACATCAAATATTGTAGACGTACAAAACAGAACAAAGACAAGGGAATCTTCTTAAGACAGTCACTGTCAGCTGCTTGTTGCTAGAGCAGTGTTTTTTCTTGTCAAACTCATAGCCAAGTGATATTGCAATATTAATGAAACAAGCTAAAATGGCTCCAAAGCTTGTTGGAATAAAAAAGTACCTCAAATACCCTTGTTAAAAGTTTGTGGCCATTTTAAAAATGTGAAAAAAAAAACACACTTTATCAAGATTGTTTTATTTTGAAATAAAAAGGAAGTTGCCTGGTAGGCTATTTTGAGTTACCCTGACAACAACGCCTTACCGTATTTTGTTTTAACGTTTTTGTTTTTTAAATGAAATAATTTTCCTATTTGTGTCCTGGTCAACGTCAACAAGCCTACTTTGCGTGTGTCTCGTATCTTAGTACCATCGAAATTAACAACCAAATGTTATCTTTTCCATACCTGATATAGTTGTAGGACATCCACCTTTTATTTTCTGTGAATGGAGCACCTAGAGTAAAGACGAGAAGCACGCACGTAACGACGTTATTAAAGCATATTATTTATCATAACCCACCGTCTTTATCTGAATACACTATTGTGCGTTGATTTATTTTGAAAAATCAAACCGGATATGGTTATCTTTCCATTCTGGAAGGGGTTATGTTTGGTTTATAGGTATAGGTCCACATTATTTCAGATGGTCGTCAATGGCGGACACTCAAAGCGAAGAGAGGTAAGTCTAACGTAATGTGACTAAATCATTATGTCACGGTATTATGTTATATATGTTAAATATAATATTTACAGTCTATGGTTATACCATGTAGTCGAGCCCAGTGTCCTGTAAAAACATCTATATAATAAGGCTCTGACTATATTGTTCGTTCCGTCTGTTGAATAACGTTACAATGTTACATCAGCCTGACCGGCGGAACTGTATCTGACTTTAATTAATTCATGATTCTCGTAAATTTCTTTTACTCAGATAGGCAAGGTTTATATTTGTAACACTACCGCTGCAAAACGTGTTATTAAACACACTCCCCTCAGTGATGTTTGTGGTGATTTTGTAGCCTATCTGTCCAGTGATGGCGACATATGGTTTAATCTAGAGTGTGTACGGGATTCCCTGAAAAACTTCCTGTCGGAGTTTTATGTCGAATAATGAAGGTCTGTTATTTGACTCCCAACATGCCAAGGTAAATATTTAAACATGGAGATATCTAGTGGATTGAACTCAAGCTTACATCTGTTAAAATAACGAAAATAAACAAGTGAATAAAACCAAATGTATTGCTAAGAGTCAAATTCCAAATAGTTATGGTGGAGAAATTTTTCAAACGTGTTTCATATTTATTTGGTAAGTGGCTGAAATTCTTCTTTTTTACAATACCAAATAGCAGTTAATAGAGGATACAAGTGCAGAAATATAAAAACCCTTCTCACCAGTTATATGCACAAGAGGATTTAAGCTTGCAAAGCACAATAAACATTTTGTTGACTAAAGGTTATACTGGGAAGTGTTAAAGTCGACTATACAACTGCACGATGCTAATTTGTCTGTTTCAAGAGAAATTCTCTTTAATAGCATACTGTTTTTTTTATTCAGCAGTAATGGCAGCTCAGCATACCAAGCCTAACTTAAGCCAGCCTCAGGGCGCTGAGTTGGTGAAGAGGCTCTACAGGCTGACACCATCAGAAATCCGCTCTCTGCCCAGCTACGATGACCAGAACTTTTATGTGGCGGCTGTGGAGGGTGGCGAGTACGTCCTGAAGATCACAAACTCAGACGACAGTAAAAACTGCAACATGATCGAGGTGCAGACATACGCCATGTCCTTCCTGAAGGAGAATGGATTTCCTGCCCAAACAGCGCTGCCCACCGTCTCGGGACAGCTCATGAGCCTGGAAGAAATGGGTATGACATCCTAACACAGTTATGACCTGAATTATGATGTCATGTAGCAGGGTGACACAGGAATATATACATTTTTAGGCTAAAAAGATGCAGACATTAAACTCCATTCAAAGGAATGTGCATCCTTAGAAGTGAGAGCAGCAGCAGCCTAGCAGTCAGTGCTTGTCTGTCAGGTCTGTGACTAGATTGATGGTAGTTACCTTTATAGATTTATGATAGTTACTTAAAGTAGTAGTTAAAGTAGTCAACATGCACATTTGCAAACAAGTCTCGTTGTATTTCCTGAAGGCTTGAAAGCTTGAGGAGTTTTTAAAAAAACATGACTTTCATTACACATTAGCTGTGTAGTGCAGGCAATCAACACGTCTCTAACCTTTGGCACATTTTTATAACTTCTCTGCATATACCTCACCTCAGGCTAGTTACTTCAAGATTTTCAGGTTTGAATTCCACTTGGACAGGCAACTTCTTTCAAACGGGAGGATAAGAGTTTTCTCCGGTAGGGTCGCTTAAATTGAGATTACTCTAAACGTGTGTTGGGCCACGCAGGCTTAGAACAGTCAAGCAATGGACTTGGGCCTGCACCTCTGTAAAAGCCTCATTTGAGTTATTCACTGAGATCACAAAGAGGCCTAAAAGGACTCTTAATCCCAGAATCCCCTGCGGTACTTCACACCTACGTGTGAAGTAAAGGGGGGACCGGAACCTCTCTCTCCTCATTGGAGGGGACCTGAGGTAGACCCCCATGGAGCAGGCCAGGCTACAAAACTCCAAGACTTCCATTGCTCGCTCTCTTTCACGCGCTGACCTTCGGTGCTCGGAGACCCAAGAAGATCTCCTGTTTCCTGCAACAATCTTCCTTTGTTTTAAGTTTTGGCGCGCAGGTAATCCGCGGCCGGCAGTGTTCTAAATTCCGAGCTCGGATTGTCCAGTGAACGCATCTCAGTTTCTCGGAGAGCGTCAGACTATAACAGATTATCAGAAAGATAACGGTCTTATTCCGTCCTGCAACGAAAGGACATCAAAGGACATTTTTCCACTCGACGGAGAACCAACGAAGCCGCTCTCGCCGTAAGGGACCCTCGCCGCCATCAGACGCCTCTGCACCAGGACGGACAGAAGATCTGCTCCATCGCCGGACTCTTTTCCTTTCACCAATCGCGGGCAAAGCGATTCACAAGTGAGGCTTAATTAGGTCTGGGCAGAATTAGCTTTAGAGAGTGTTTTTAACAATTGTTGATCAAAGCAGAAACTGTAATTTTTATCTTTGTTGGACCTGCGTCCTGAGTTTTAACTGTTTAAAACTCTTGTTGTTTCGGACCGCTGCGTCCTATATGTGTTTAGCGTAACAGCGTTATAACCGGGTATTACTCTTCTGATCAGAAAGGCCAGTGTAAGCTGTATTAACCTGAATTCGGCTATTGGTTTGTTTCTGTGAATGAAGGGAATTACTCCGAGTTGTGGCGCGGGAGTCGGACTGTGATCCGGCCTCTTCAGGCACGCATTTCTCTTTTATTCTCTTTTATTTCCCCTTCTACGCACACACATACACACATATTCCTGTGTAAACGTACATCTGGAGACCAACTCCACCACCGCGCCATTACGCACAGAGATCTATACACTCGCGGCTATCCAGACGCCTCAGAGACACAGATCGTGTAGGGCCGAACTCAGTCTCTTTTAGACCTTAAGGCCACATTTAGGCCTTTGTTAGGTGTGTGCCATCGGAAGGGCGACCACGTGGGACGAAGTAATCTTCCCCCCCTTCTCTCTCCTTTCATCCACACGTGCACGCACCCAGGTCTTTGTTAGGTTTGCGCCATCGTGAACGACCACGAGGGTACGAAGCCATCTCCCCCCTTTCTTCTTCCCCTCTCTCTCTCTCTCTCTCTCACACACACACACACACACACACACACACACACACACCTACATTCACACCTTCCACAAGCCTTTGCTTGATAATGTTTGTTGCTTAGATTAGTTTATAATAGTTATTTGTTTAATTAAGTTCATTGATTTTGGATTGATGTTGCTTTGTTTAAATAAATTCTGTTATAATTTAAGAGAGCAGTTGTTTGTGGTTACTGGTGTATTTACATTGTGATATAAGCTGGGTGCGAAGGCTTTGTGTACGGATTTCACGCCTTCAATTTATTAAATATAGTTATTCATTATTAATAATATTAGTAATTAAATAACTAATTTGAGACTGATTTGAGTGATATTTTGGTTATATTTACCTGATTACAGGTTGGTGCCCCAAAACGAGATTAAACATAGTTTAATGATATTTTATTTATATTATTAATAATTAAGTATAATTATTAAAGAATATAACCAAAGTTGACTTGATACAACCCCAACAAATGGTGCCCCGTGTGAGGCCTTCAATAAACCAGCTTTATTGCACTGTAATGCACAGTAATCCAAACTTAAAATCCTAAAAAGGATCCTTCGGAAGAAAATTATATTTTCTTTAAATTTTTGTGGTTTAAGCAAAGCAGACATCAAGCTGTGGCTTAGTTGTGTTTTATGTTGTTAGTTAATGGTTAAAGCCGTAACTGTTGTCCCCTTTGGGTCCATACAACAATTGGACATAATGATGCAGCTAGTGTGACTTTATCAAGGAACTTGATTTGTTGCATTAATCTAGATTTTGATCCTGAAGTATTCGACTAAAGGATTGTGGTGCTCCTTGTTGTTTGAGAGCCATTTGGCCAGATGAGAGTGTAACCTCATCATTGTTGCATAGCCAGCTGTCTGAGAGGTGTGAGTTCCTCCCTTCCTTTGAGGACTTGAGGTGTGAATCCCCTCTCCTATCTTCCAGGATAGACTGCAGTGATCAGTTGGGAAACTTAGATAAGATTTGCTCTTGTGTACCAAGACCCTAGGTGAGTCGGGGCTGAGACTCCTTTTGGATCAGACGACGCAGCACTGCAAGAAACTGCTGCCGGTCTGACGAACCTCTCCTTAGAGGAGAGTGCCAACCTATATAGCTAGTCAATTAGCATTAGTGATAAGAAGTTAGAAGAGCTAGTTGATCTTATCAACCACAGAGCCAGGCTCACCCCTAATAAAGACAGAATGTATGCAGAAGACATACATCAACTATGGGCCAAAGCTCACTATGGATCAGACGATCCACCCCTTCAAGACGTAGTTGCTAATCTTATCCACCTCCCTATAGAGCAGCTCGACAGCCTGAACTCCTACACCCTCAGCACATGTGAAAAGAGACTAAAGGGCTTGGTTGAATATGCAAATCAACCAACTGGGAAGCCAACACGTACAGTTCAGATGTTCTAGGCGAAATTCTCCTCCTTTATCAGCGCAAATCAAATGTGCAGAATGAGATACACCGGGAACAGCTAGCCCGGGTACTAGAAGAAGGACAGATCCTGCGGGACGACTTCGAAAGAATGCAGGATAAACTAAAGACCTTGCAGGAAAATTGCAAGGCCCTGCAGGAGGAGAATAAAACACTGCACGAAAGCAGCAAACTGGCCGAACAGAGAAACGAAGTGATACGGTACCCAGATTCAGGACAGGCAGAGAAGTACTTCAGCCCCAGATCAGATGAGGAAACCTCAGACGAAGGATGGGAGACTGAAACAAGCCCCTGGAGGAGGGAGACAGACATGTTGCAGGATCTGGAGGAGAGGGGAAGGCACCGCCGGGTCGACCCAGGCACAAAAGCGCCCACGTCCTCAGACCACCCGGTAAAGAGTAGGATGAGTAAAGAGAAGGGCCCCGCGTTCCGCAATACGCTTTGAGCGAAGAGAACCCTCACCCCGCAGGAAGAGGCTTTACTCCCCCTAGAGACAGGGAGGAGACACGGCCCAATTGGGCACCGAACGCTACCTGTCCCACGATAGACGGCCACGTCTGAGCCGAACACAAACCCCGCCACGGTTACAACCCTACTACCGTGACAACCACAGGGCTTACGATTCATCAGACGAATCGGACGACCCTCGCCAGCCTTCGGGTCAGGGCCTGCGAACCAGGCAGATAGAACCTCAGGCCAAAGATCTGAAGCGTTTTGACCCAGATAGCCCAGATTCAAGTATTAACGATTACCTTAGAGAAGTTGACCATTGTCTCCTTGACCTGCTCATGCGTCCTCACATGAAAAACTGAAACGGATCTGGAAGACTACGGCTAGGAGTGTCCGTGATTTCATGGGGACACTCCCACCAAAGGTCCGATCCTTGCAGAAAGGAAACAAATCTGTTAATCAGCACTTACAAACTGCCAAGCAGAAAGTGTTGGACATGCTTGAATTAATTCAGGGAGCACAGGTAAGCATGGAGCAAGACACATCGTCAGGATATGACTCTGATCCTGGACCAAGCCCCTTAAGAGATCAAACAACCCTGCTGAAAAAGCTCAGTAAAGAACCGAGCAGCCAGGATAACCCAAGGACTGAGGAAATAAGTCTAGTTTTCCCTGATTTTGACTGTGGAGCCCGCTCCTTGGGGAAACGCCCCAGTTCTCTGACAACTGTGACACCCTTTCACACCTTCACAGGTTTGAATCACCACATAGGAAGGGGGGTGACTTCTCAGCCCCCAGAGGCAGAGATAACACCAGGCCCCCTCCTGCTACCTGTAGGTTCCCATTGCAGGATTCACGGCTGAGGAATATCCAAACCTCAGATGACTGGGATGGCTCCCTTCTACCCAGAGATCAAAGAATGCGCATAAGGCTCATTGAATCTATGGCACAGGATGTAGAGCGGTTTGATCCAGATAACTCAGACCTCTGCATCGATGATTACCTCAGAGAGATTAACCTGTGTCTCAGTGAGGTACCTGATGCATCCACAAGAGAAAAACTCAGGCTGATCTGGAAGACAACTTCCAAGAGTGTCCGTAACTTCACGACTACCCTTCAGCCTGAGATCAGATACCAGTACTCTGCGCTCTGCAATGCTTTGCGCCAGGAATACTCCACCTACATTGACCCTGCATCTGCCCTTCTTAGTGCTTTCAGTGTCTTGCATCAGAAGCACGAGGCCCCC